CTTCAGCTGGAGAAGTGTGTCTACACTTACACAGCATCCTGTGTATTTTGGTCCACAGCGGCTGCCGCAATGGTCAACAAGCGTTTTATCTGCGTTTCCATTTCCACAACGGAAGGCTCAGATCTGCCGTGTTTACCATGTCACTGCTGAGCCTGCCACAGTGCACAGGGGTGCATGGTAAACACGTGCTGAATAACGAGTGAGCCCCACGACCCTGAGCCCTCACCCGGCTGTGTGGAGGAGGTGCCTACACAAGAATGGATGGACCAGGCCACCCCTGAGGCTTCTCCGGGCCGACCGTGGCACTTTGAGAAGCAGAGTGGCTGTGCGTGCAGGCTCCTACAGCTCTGCAACAAGAGGAACCCATTCTTCTTGTCCGCCTCTGGGAGGAGAAATCCTAAGCAGGCACAGGGCGCCACCAGGACCCCCAGGCTTAGAGCCGCTGTGGGCTCGCGTCCGGCAAAGAGGAGACCTAGGAAACCCTAAAGCACCCTCTACAACAAGGCCCAGCATTTAGGCCAAACAGGAAAACTTATGGAACTTACCTTTTCCTTGGTTGTGTTCCAATTTGCCTTACAGACTTCTCTTCAGTGTAAAAGAGCAGACTTCTTTGCAGAGTAGAGACCAGCAGCACTTTCTGGCTATAATCCAGCTGCACAATGGAAGACGGCTCCTCCAACACCAGCTGGGAGTTACAGAGCCCCTGGCAGAGAAAGTCCGGTTACGCCTCACATCAGCGCCAGGCTAAAGAATGGACCTCCCTTAGGACAAGTCAGTGTCCTTCCTGCGAACTGTGCTTAGGTCAGCTTGCACCCTACCTAATGTATGCTTTCTCTCTCTGCAGATTCACTCTCAACCCACCACAGAGAGATTATCTGATGGATGGGAAAATAGTCCATACTAACATCTCCCTCATGCTACATCCAGTTTGACAAGAAACATTTTAAAATCTCCATAATTTTTAAAAACATGTCCTCAGTAGATACATTCTTTTTTTTTTTTTTTTTTTTTAGACGGAGTCTCGCTCTGTCACCCAGGCTGGAGTGCAGTGGCCGGATCTCGGCTCACTGCAAGCTCCGCCTCCCGGGTTTACGCGATTCTCCTGCCTTAGCCTCCTGAGTAGCTGGGACTACAGGCGCCTGCCACCTCGCCCGGCTAGGTTTTTGTATTTTTTAGTAGAGACGGGGTTTCACCAGGTTAGCCAGGATGGTCTCGATCTGCTGACCTCGTGATCCGCCCGTCTCGGCCTCCCAAAGTGCTGGGATTACAGGCTTGAGCCACCGCGCCCGGCCAGTAGATACATTCTTTACTGTGCACCACAGCAGGCTCAGGGGTGACACAGTAAACATGTAGAGAGTTCAAAGAAGCATCCATAAAGATCTAAACAGAAATCTGTTGCACTGTGTGTATTGCTTATTCTATTATAAAACAATGGAATGGAACCTTCTATAAAATTATTGTGACAATAATCAGCTCTGTAAGTTCATATTATAGTCTCCCCTCACAAAGTGCTCAAAGCAGTTTTGAGGACATTATATACTTGTCAACCAAAAGGGTCATAGAAAACAGGAGGTCAGAAGAAATTAAATGATATTAAATATATAAAATGCTATTAACATAAAATGAGATTTTACAAGACCAGCCTAGGCAACATTGTGAGATCCTGTCTCTACAAAAAAAACCATTTTATTAGCTATGTGTATTGGCATGTGTCTGTGATCCCCGCTACTTGGGAGGCTGAGACAGAAGGATCATTTGAGCCCAGAAGTTCAGATTACAGTGAGCTGTGATCATACCACCGCACTCTAGCCCTGGTAACAGAGTGAGACTCTGTCTTTACAAAAACAAACAAACAAAAACAAAAAACATATTTTATATATAAACACAAAATAAAATTCTAGAAGGCATCTGACTGCTAACACAGAGCATATTTCATTGTATTAAAAATCTGATTCTGTAAGTTACTCGTATAGAAAAGTGTCATCAGGCTGGGTGCAGTGGCTCACACTTGTAATCCCTATATTTTGGGAGGCTGAGGTGGGTGGATCATTTGAGGTCAGGAGTTCGAGACCAGCCTGGCCAACATTGTGAAACCTCGTCTCTACTAAAAATACAAAATTTAGCTGGGTGAGGTGGCACATGCCTATAATCCCAGCTACTTGGGAGGCTGAGGCAAGAAAATCACTTGAACCCAGTGGCAAGGGTTGCAGTGAGCCGAGATCACGCCACTGCACTCCAGCCTGGGCAACAGAGCGAGACTCCATCTCAAAAAATATACATATATGAAATACATATATATATATTTTTCGTATATATATATGAAATCCAGTATATTTGAAAAGTTTCATCAATTATTTCAGAAATATTGCTGTAACATCACTGACATTTTGTGAGGGAAGCAGGGGGCAGTGATCAGATTTGTTGGTAAAACTTAGAGTAAATTTTATCCTTTTTTAGGTATATGATTCTATGAATTTTGACAAATTTATAGTCATGTAACCAACACCAAAATCAAGATAAAGAAATTTCCATTACATGAAAAGGTTGCAAACTTTTTTTTTAGACAGGTTCTGGTTCTTGGCCTAGGCTGGAGTGCAGTGGTGCTATCTCAGCTCACTGCAATATCCACCTCCAAGGCTCAAGTGATCCTCCAACCTCAGCCTCCAGAGTAGCTGGGATTACAGGTGTGCGCCACCATGCCTGGCTAATTTTTATATGTTTTTTGGTAGAAATGGGGTTTTGCCATGTTGCCCATACTGGTCTCAAACTCCTAGGCTCAAGTGATCATCCTGCCTTGGCCTCCCAAAGTGCTGGAATTAGAGGTGTGAGACACCGTGCCTGGCCAGAGGATAGGCAGTTTTCTATTCTCCCTTCTGCTGCACACTGAAACACACTCAGAGGTTCTCTCAAGAAAAGCACTTGTGCAACTGTTGCAGCTACGAGCTGAGCCAGCTGCTTTCTTCACAAAACACCATTTTTATTTGAAATGCTGTAATTATTCAAATTTGGGTATTTAGCAGACATTTTCTCAAAAAACAAAAGCCTGTCACTTCAAGGAAAACAAGTAATGGTATTTGTTGCTCTCATGTGAAGATTAGCCATACGAAAACTTGTACCTGTCCCTGTGAACTTGACATGATTCCTTATAGCTAGACTTTCCTGATTACAATGATGTTGATGTTAACAAAGGTTTTTTTTTTTTTGATATTGTATTAGAAAACGTACCAGCCGGCACAGTGGCTCACACCTGTAATCCCAGAACTTTGGAAGGCTGCGGTGGGCAGACTGCTTGAGCCCAGATGTTCAAGACCAGCCTGTGCAACATGGCAAAGCCCTGTCTCTATAAAAATACAAAAAATCAGCTGGGCATGGTGGCGTGCACCTGTAGTCCCAGCTATTCGGGAGGCCAAGGTGGGAGAATCACCTGAACCTGGGAAGTCGAAGCTCCAGTGAGCCATGATTGCACTACTGCACACCAGCCTGGGTGAGAGGAGTAAGACCATGTCTCAAAAAAAAAAAAAAAAAAAAACAAGTGTCAACATTTGGAAGATCTACACCACTCTGTGAATAGTATTTTCTAAGTGACCAATACATAATGTTACAAAATCCAACATGTGTAAAGTAGATTTTAATGTAACAGAGTAGGAAAAATTCATCCATGTGGTTTCAGATTCCAATTTTTACTAACCTTTAAAGAAACTACCGTTTGTCATTTGTCACTGTAACCCTTAAAGCAACTACCATTTGTCAATATGAGGATATTATTAAAGAATGTCCACAATTATCTGAAAAGGCTATCAAAATACTCCTCCCATTTCCAACTACATGTCTGTGTAAGGCCAGTTTTTCTTTATATACTTCAATCAAAACAATGTATGGCAACAGATTGAATGCAGAAGCCAGTCATCTTCTATTAAGCCAGATAATAAAGAGATTTGTAAAAATACAACTCAATGCCACTCACTCTTGTCACCTGTTTTGAAAACAGAGATATAGAGATATTTTCACAAAATATGTCACTTATGTTCAGATATTATGGATTTATTATTTCAAAGTAAAAATATTTTTAAATGTCAGCCAGGTGCAGTGGCTCACGCCTGTAATCCCAGCACTTTGGGAGGCTGAGATGGGAGGATCACAAGGTCAGGAGAGCGAGACCATCCGGTGAAGCACCGTTTCTACAAAAAATACAAAAAATTAGACGGGCATGGTGGTGGTTGCCTGTAGTCCCAGCTACTCAGGAGGCTGAGGCGTGAGAATCGCTTGAACCCGGGAGGCGGAGGTTGCAGTGAGCTGAGATTGTGCCACTGCACTCCAGCCTGGGCAACACAGCGAGACTCCATCTCAAAAAAATATATACATTTTAAAATTTATCAGTTTTAACTTCTAACACGGTGTACTTGGTAGAGATAACCTATATAAACAAAAATGCTTTAGGGTCCTCTTTCTAAGAGTATAAAGGGATCCTATGACTACAAAGCTTGAAAACTACTACTAGAGAATATTTGTAATAGGTCAGTCTTGGATCAGAGGGACTGAAAGTCATGCAGCTAATAATTGCTGAATTCTTGGCCGGGCATGGTGACTCACAGCTGTAATCCCAGCACTTTGGGAGGCCAAGGTGGGCAGATCACCTGAGGTCAGGAGTTCAAGACCAGCCTGACCAACATGGTGAAACCCCATCTCTACACAAATAGAAAAATTAGTCAGGCATGATAG